CCAAAGTGAGTCTTGTGCGCGCGCGTTTGTGTGTGTGTGTGTGTGTGTGTGTGTGTGTGTGTGTGTGCGCGCGCGTGCGCGCGCGCGCGCGCATACCTTAGATAATGCGCCGGCGATACTTAAACTTTAAAGGTTCGTAACTCAGGAAGATCTCAAGCAAAAAGGGTTTGTAACCAGTGTTTCGGAAACGTCTTGACACCAGCTTTAAGGATATGTAAAAGAAAATAGGTGTTTCCATTTAAGATTTCAAAGTTGACCTTCACGGTGTCCTTCAAGGTTACATGAAGGTCATTTCAACATAACCATATAATAGACCACTTGATATACTAAAACTTTTGTATTGAACACTTTTTTCCATAAGCATTATTTTCCAAGATATTTGACCGTTGCCGAACTTTCTCCCATCACTGTATATACATATATACATACACATCTTTTTATACAAGCAAACTATATACACATATAAAAGTTGTGTTTATAACATTATATTTTTATTGAACAACATAATTTTATAATTGATTTACTTTGTTATTATTTTTTCCGCTATAAATTAAAATTTTAAAAATAATAACAAAAATTTCTAAATGTTTTTGTATAAGTACTTTAAATATTCAAAATGACATCTTTTAAAATAACATTTAAAATTTCGAAACATTTCCATTAGAGTACAGATAAAAAAATACTTATTGAAATTTATTTCTATAGAAACAACTTTTGAAGTAAACCATCATTAAATTTGTATTGCTTTTAAATATTATCTAGAATAACCTGTAAAATTTTCTATAATTTTTTTGTTATTTTAAAATATGTATAGTGCATCTTTAAGTGTTCATGACTGCAAAAAGTTTTAAAACTCTAATAACCAATTTGAGCGTTCTACATAATTAGTTTAAACATAACTACGTTTAGATCTGTATTCAGCAAAATTTTTAGATATTTCAGCAAAACTTCCGTGATCCAATTAATATACAAATTAATAACATTAAAAATTGACCCTTTAAAAGACAGTGTAAAATTCGCCGAACAAGAAATTTTATATCCAGTTTGAATTATAAATGTACTTTCCTCGCTCTCACATTAAGTGAGTTCCCTAAGATCATAGGAAACTCATTTAAAAGATATTCAAAAAAACAATGGAAAAGTTAATTGAGAAATTAAAAATAAAAGAAAACATGTTTATTTTTTTATAGTTTTGATATATATAAATTGCTAAGTCAAGAATGTTGCATTAAATTTTTCTGAGATTCGGTTTACATAAAAAAATACCTGTATAGGTATTAAATAATTACTTAGTAAAAATAATTATCAAACTTGTCTATAATGAAAAGCGAATCGCTAAATATATTCTAGCGACAAAAATAAAATTGAAAAATTGCAGAACGTATTGTATTGTCGTAATGTTGTTGATATAAAAATGTGATTCAAATACGTAATCCTTGTACATGCGTTATTTTATTCTTTCATATCCTAATTACAGATTTTTTACATCTCTCTACAAAAAGTCTCTTAATTTTAAGTCGGCGTTTTATCAGTATAGAACAGCCGTAACTCGGTAATGGACGCAGAAATGCAGTCTGAAATTATAGTCGAATTAGAAACAGCACGGTCAAATGGCTCTATTACCATTCCAATGAATGTGATATCGATAGCGTTGCGTTAATTGCGAATTCCTAGTCTACTCACTAGTTTCAAACGCCACGGTTTGTTACGTTTAATTTAGTGACGTTCAAAAAATTATATCTTTGAATCACCCATCGATCGATTCTTCTCCTATAAAGTAAATGTTCCGAAATACTCATTTAAAAATAAAAATAGATAATTCGCGCTTCACAAAAAAAAATTCAAAGTAATAAAATGTAAAAAGCATTAAGTTTCTTATATTAATTGCAAAGCTTTAAATATTCAAAAAGTGTGATCTTATATACTTATATATTATTTTTAAAATTCATCTCCATTTTTATTGAAAATCGGTTTTCATAACTTGAAGTATAGATATACGAGGTCTAATAAAAAAATAAGCGAACTTTTTGAATTACTCGGAGCGTCCTAGCAACGTGCGGTTTGCAGCACTACAATCGTTATAATCTTCCGAGTAACTGGCTTTTTTAAAATTGTTTACATTTCGTTTAGTTTCAGAGTTATTGCTATTTGAGGGCAACGTGTTTTAGTGTTCGTGGCGATTTTCGCCTCGAAATGAATTTTTGCAATTTTTGCCTCAAGGTCAAACAATCAACCGTTAGTACTACGATGGCGTTTTGAAAAAATTGCGCGAAAAAATTCGCAAAAAGAGACCACACTTGTGGCGAAATAACTCATGGTTCCTTCACCATGACAACGTGCCTGCCCATTCAGCCTTGTCAATTCGCAAGTTTTGTGCCAAAAATCAGATGATTGTCCTCCCCCAGCCTTCCCAGACCTTGCTTTCTGCGATTTTTTCTTGTTCCTAAAATTAAAATTCAGTTTGAGGCGAAAATCGTCACTAAAACACGTTGCACTCAAATAGCAATAACTCTGAAACTAAACGAGATGTAAACAATTTTAAAAAAGCCAGTTACTCGGAAGATTATAACGAT